TCTGTATTAAGTTCTACATTCAAAATGATTAAATACATTATTATGTTTTGTATCTGTGTATTTATACACTGAGACGACATCTTAACGTCATATAAACTAAAATTAATCTGTTTACAAAATATCACCAGAAAAACAATCTAAGATACGAGATGTTTTTTTTCTTAGATTGTTTTAAAATGAGAACTTCTGGACTACAAGCTTATTCTGATGACATGTGATATGAAGATAACAATCATTAATCAAATATTTTCTACATATAATGATAAATGGTCTCACATATATATTTAAGATTGTTTTCTAAATTTTTAAGAGCTGTTTGTTTGTTGTTTATAGCAAAGCCACATTGACCTATCTGCACCACGGTGAACTGAATCCCGGATTTTAGCATTACAAGCCTAGACTTACCACTTTTAATAACCGAATTAAAATAACTTACAAAAACACCGAGTTACTTACTACAATATCTCCTTGAAAAATAGACATGTCTTTATTGACGGGGTAAAACATCTGAAAAAAGAATATTCTATTATTAATTATGATTTCTTTAAACATGACATCACCAGAAAACGTTTTGTTGAAAGTTAAAAACAACAAATCACTCATACTGACAGTGTCATCGAGATATCTTTATTCGTGAATAACAGTTTTAAAAATGTAATTAGTCCTAGATTTTTGATGCAAGGCATTCATGAACTGATATAGTTATTTTGGAATTACCTACTGACAGTGTCATCGAGATATCTTTATTCGTGAATAACAGTTTTAAAAATGTAATTAGTCCTAGATTTTTGATGCAAGGCATTCATGAACTGATATAGTTATTTTGGAATTACCTACTGACAGTGTCATCGAGATATCTTTATTCGTGAATAACAGTTTTAAAAATGTAATTAGTCCTAGATTTTTGATGCAAGGCATTCATGAACTGATATAGTTATTTTGGAATTACCTACTGACAGTGTCATCGAGATATCTTTATTCGTGAATAACAGTTTTAAAAATGTAATTAGTCCTAGATTTTTGATGCAAGGCATTCATGAACTGATATAGTTATTTTGGAATTACCTATGAAGATAAAAGGTTTACCTTGTTTTTTACTTTCTAATAACTTTTTTTTACATTTATTTCATACTTGCGTACATTCTTATACTTTACATTTACTATTTACATGCTAAGTTAGTACAGTATTCATATAACTAAAGTGTGAAATTCATAATATTACATGATCATTTTATGTTTGAAAAGCCAGTTATAATACTTTTATTGTAGAACTCGCCTGTGGTTTTAACGGGTCATGTTTCCCAATACGTTCCCAACTTCCATTTTGTCTTATCACATAACCTGCTACTACTTTTCCTGAAATATCAGATGAAGAACTTAATACAGACAATCTCACCATTCAAGTTAAATTTACAAAGATTCTGTTTGTGTAAAAAATAAAAGAATGGATCTACTGGACTTATAGATATAAACATATTATTTTATTAAAATATATAATCAGAAATAAACATGTTATTTTATTAAAATATATATAATCAGATATAAACATATTATTTTATTAAAATATATAATCAGATATAAACATTATTTTATTAAAATATATAATCAGATATAAACATATTATTTTATTAAAATATATAATCAGAAATAAACATATTATTTTATTAAAATATATAATCAGAAATAAACATATTATTTTATTAAAATATATAATCAGAAATAAACATATTATTTTATTAAAATATATAATCAGAAATGTGCTAGAATAGAAGCACAATTACAGGACTACTTTGAACAAGAACTGTATGTTCTACTGTAGCAACAGGAAATGTATGTTCTACTGTAGCACCAGGAACTGTATGTCCTGCTGTAGCAACAGGAACTGTATGTCCTGCTATAGCAACAGGAACTGTATCTTGTGCTGTAGCAACAGGAACTGTATGTTCTACTGTAGCACCAGGAACTGCATGTCCTGCTATGGCAACAAGAACTGTATGTCCTGCTATAGCAACAGGAACTGTATGTCCTGCTGTAGCAACAGGAACTGTATGTTCTACTGTAGCAACAGGAACTGTATGTCCTGCTATAGCAACAGGAACTGTATGTCCTACTGTAGCAACATGAACTGTATGTCCTGCTATAGCAACAGGAACTGTATGTCCTGCTGTAGCAACAGGAACTGCATGTCCTGCTATAGCAACAGGAACTGCATGTCCTG